AGCTTCTGATATAAACCTAAAACAAATGAATTCCAAATACGAGCTCACTGATCATGAAATTTTGATCCTATGACTACAAGTACCCAGTGGCATTGCTACTAATTCTGAGAATCCAGACAAAAGTCCCAATAATTTGCAGTGCTTTGTGTTCAACGTCAAAGCTGAAACAGTTATTCTCGACTTGAAGTCAAACGCATAATAAAGTCGTTTTCATAGTGCGTAGTTATTGATAATCAAGCAGTTGCTTTCCTTTTTCTACAGATAGTAGTAATTATATGGCCTAACTGGATTCTCATGACTTTGTCCAAGTTGTCTTGTGCACACACCAGAATCCACCACCTTCCCACTATGAAAGAAATAGGAGTTGTTTCGTATTTTTATTTTCAATAGTTGAACAGCTTTGTAAGTCTATACTTCCATCAAAAACCTTTGCTCCCCACCATTAGAAAAAAACAACAACAAGTGTGTCAATTTATGAAAACAATAATCAAAATTGAGGTGATATGAAACGGCGAATGATCAAACTGGGGTCGAAATGATGCAGTCTTTCCAAGGCAGATAAGCACGAGCAAATAGTGTCGATACAGCAATGCATTATCACAGCAGGATTCGTGAGATGTGGGCATAACTTATAATTTTGTAAGATAATACTTTTGAATACTTTTACAGACCTTGCGAGATTGTTACCTCTTTTATAACTTGATTTACATATATATTACGGAATTTGTATAAGTGTTGGCGAAAACATGACATAATAAACTAGTAAGTTTATTGCACATACAATTACTTTTTTTTTACTAGTTGCATACCAACCCTTACTAGTTTGCATCCTTATATTTATCGACCGATAACGTGCTATTAATAGAATCCCCACTGTATTCAAAGTGACTGATTCGACTATTTGGATATCTCGATAATCTGAATGTACTCCTTCATTACAAATGCGTTCGGATTAACGAGGTTTCACTGAATGCACACGTTATTAAAGTAATATGGCAATAATATAATGTACACACTGTGAACTTCTAGAACCTAAACGAACCTAAACTCAGGAACCTATTCAAATAAGATCTATTCAAATAAGATATTTTATCAAGAGCAGGTTGCAGTAGGAAGCTGTGTGACTAAGATAAGAAAGAGACAGTTGGAGTTTCTCATACACATTATGAGGAAAGAAGAAATTGAAAGTCTGGTTGTAGCTGGAAAGATTGAAGGAAGGAGAGACCGTGGAATAAAGAAGTTGACTTATGTCAAGAGATTATCTAAATAGATGGATGTATCGACATTGGAAATTCTGTTTGGATATGGTACATTGAGAGATCTGTGGAAGACCATGGTCATCAATGTCCTGTTTGGATATGGCACATAGAGAGATCTGTGGAAGACCATGGCCATATCCAAACAGGACATTGATGATACATAGAGAGGGACAGATATGTGGAAGACCATGGTCATCAATGTTCTGTTTGGATATGGTACATTGATAGATCTGTGGAAGACCATGGTCATCAACGTCCTGCTTGGATATCGTATGTAGAGAGAGAGAGAACGTTTTTTAACGACATCAAAAGTGAAAAAAAGCGATCTGGAAATTGACCTGAATGTTTTTATCATCTTAGCTTAGAAGATACACCTCTAAAGAATAAAAAAAAATATTTTCCACCTAAACTGATTGCTTGTAAGTTAAACTTTTTAAAGGACTGGTTGAATAAAAATTCAATCTCTAGTACACTGTAGTATGATGACATATTTTACATAATGAAGCTGTTCCATCTCGACTAGAAAAAAGCAGTATTGCCAATTGATATTGTCACTGTTTAACATTCAACCAATATAATTTAATGTGTACTGCAGATGCAAAATAGCCCCACTTATTAAGCCTAAATATGTTCTTTTGAACATGGACACTTATTAATCAGTACGAATTGCTCAAAGCAAATTCTAAGATTTATTAAAAACTACTATCCAATTAGGGTGTACAATGCAATACACTGACTGCTGAGAAATATTAATTGAATTTCGTACTGTTTTTATTAGGTCGTCAAGAAATTAATGTCACTTTTTTTAGATGAAAAAACCCGAATAACTTATGTATCAAAACAAAACATTTATTAAATGAAATAGTCTCCATTCTTATCGATGACGCTTTTCCATCTTACAATGAGGTTATTAATGCCCTGATTAAAGAAATCACTTGGCTTTGAAGCAAAAAAACATGTCAATGTCCTCTTTAACACCTTCCACACTTGCAAACATTTTCCCATTAAGATGGTGTTGCAGCGAACGAAAAAGATGGTAATATGATGGTTCCATATCTGGAGAATATGGTGGATGGGGGAGAACTTCCCAACCCAACTCCATAATCTTGTGTTGCGTCACACGTGCCACATGTGGACGTGCATCATCGTGGAGAAGAAGAACACCTTTCCGATTGACGAGTGAAGGACGTTTCTGATGAAGGGCTTCATATAAACATTCCAGTTGCTGATTATAGATCTCTGCATTGTCAGTTCGCTGTGGATTGAGGAGTTCAAAATGAATTACTCCTTTGATGTTCCACCAAATGCAAAGCATCACTTTCTGCTGATGGAGTCC